TCCGCACTAGACCAGGTGGGTGCCCGCCTCTTGCGGTCCCGGGCAAGCTCCCGGGAGCCGCCATCCTGATCCTGGGAAGAGGGGGAGGGTTGGGGGGCATCAGGTGGCGTGCTCAAGCTGGCTGGGTGCTGACAGGCTTGCACCTGGCACGGGCATCGTAGCCAGCCCATGCCCCTTTAAGGAGTCCGGGGCCGGGAGAGGGGCATACGAGTTTCCCTGGTGTTGGCCAGAGTGGCCACCAGGGAAAGCTGGGGAGGGCTAGCCTCCCACTAGGTCGAATTAAGGGGCTACACACCCCTTAATTCGAACTAGTAAGTTCAAACTAGGCTTAGTCCTCATAGAATGAGGTTTACCTAGTTCGAACTAAGCGCTCTGCTAGTTCGAATTAAGTTCGAAGTAGCGGAGCGCTAGTGTAGCGCCTATCAAAGTTAATTCGAACTAACGTCCATTAGTTCGAATTAACTTTGTAGTGTAGACATACCCATACTGAGCTTATTTCTCAGATCTGCAATAGCACACATGGAGAGAATAACTTCTAGTCATCCATGTATGCTGGTCAAATTTGCAGCCAGGTTTTTCTAGGTCAGCTACACAGCACAGGCTCAGGAAGGTTCACCCCAAGTATTTAACAATCAAAAGTCAGCCCCTCACTCCCCAAAATGAGATTTAAACAATAATAAATAGATGATCAGGTTCTTTCTTTGCCTTCTGAGCCTTTCTTGTTCACATTTTCAGGCTTTTCTACACAACCGGGAAAGCTAAAATTGTTGTGCTGGATTCAGAAAAGGATTTAGCCACCTCAGCCCCAAGCATTATCATGCCTACATTTAGGTGCCCTGCTACTTGGTGTATTTCCCAGTCCTATGCAATGCATGAGGAGACAGAGGGGCCTTCGCATTCACAGATGTCCACATGCTGAGTGGGGAGTTACCAAAGGGAGACAGTAGAACATGCTGAAGAGAGGGACGTGGCCTAAAACCCATCTCAAGTAAAGTGAGTTAGGTCCCTCACTCTATTTGGGAGTCACAGTCATGAACACTCTCCTGGAGCTGTCATCAGTAGGCCCATTTGTAATCCTTAGCCCGGGGGTAAGGGCACTCACTGTGGGTGCAGGAGACCCATGTCCAGCTCCCCCTTCTGTCAGAGGTAGAGATAGACTTGAATTTTGGTTTCCCAACTCAGGTGCCTAAGTCCCTTGTGAACACAGACTTTTTTTAAATGAAACCGCAGCTTCTCGGAGACTCTAGGAGCTGGGGCTTGACAAAAAGGCCAGATATCTTTTGAGGAGAATATTCCAGAACCCACCACATAGCCCTGTGACAGAGCTATACCTTCACCAGACAGGGATGGTGCAGTTAAGCAGCAGGCCCAAGGACTCCCAAGAAATGTGAGGTAGAGATGGCACCAGGTCTCCTGACAGCCATTTCCATGCTTTCCCCCAAGAGGCTCAGCTTCTTCCTTTGCTGCAGCTAGCACCT